AATGACACAGAATTTAACAACTATAGGTTTCGGTACGGCTTATCTAAATGGTGATATATCAAACTTTTGATTTTTTAAGGTCTACGAAAGCGGTAAAGGTGTTGATTTCTTCTGTAATACTCTCGTCCTGTTTGCCCCGCATATTGAATACCATTCTTAGGTTGGGTTAAAGTTACCACATATATAAGGTTTTGGGTTTTTCAGGTAATGTCACAGGAAAAGGAGAGCGAAAAAGCTCTCCCGTTCACTGTTGACTTTACAGTATTTTGAGAAGTTAATCTAATACAGGTTAGTCACTTTTTACATTGCACGGAGAAATTTGTGGATATCCACGTGCATTTTTGTTAAACAATCTTGCTGTAGAGGCATTACAAATACTTTTGTTTAAGCACGTGGATATCCTAGAAGTTGTGTTGTTAATAATTTTCTTTCCATTACGTAAAATCATGATAATTAAATAGAGGTATAGAAAAAAAAAGACCAGAGATTGTAACATTGAATAAGGATCACAATTACAGAATAGGAAATAATAAGCAAAGCAGTAAAAGAGCTCTTACAAAAACTGTTATATAAGGCCCAATGTAAACACTTTAGTATTACAAAACTGACATATAACAAACATAGGGCAAAAACAGAGATTTTAAGAAATCTTAGTAAAACCATAGCAGGGGGCAATAATAACATAACAGGCGAAGATGAGTATTTATACATTCAAACACCATAATATATAACTTACAATTAAGAAAAAAGATATAATACACATGTGAAAGCTCTCTCACAGGCAAACAACGTCCTCTTTTAGAGAACCACTTAATGGAATGAAATAAAAACATGGCGTGAATGTTCCTTATGAGGTGCTGATCAAGTGTTCTAACTTTGTAGGCGATCCATAATCCAAGATAGACGCTAGCAGGAGAACTTCGTTTAGAATAGGACCCTTTGAACAATAAACACAAATGTCTTCTTTTAGAGAACCACGGAATGGAATGAAACCAAACATTGCATGAATGTTCCTCATGAGGTGCTGACCAAGTGTTGTTACTTTGAAGCTGATCCATCATCCAAGATGGCCGCCAGAGTGGGACTTAGTTTAGCATAGGACCCTATGGTAAATACATACAAATGTCTTCTTTCAGAGAACCACCAAATGGAATGAAATAAAACATGGCATGAATGTTTCTTTTGAGATGCTGACCAAGTGTTGTAACTTTGTAGGCGATCAATCATCCAAGATGGCTGCCAGGGGGGACTTAGTTTAACAAAGGACCCTATGTTAAATACATACAAAAGTTTTCTTTTGAAGAACCACTGAATGGAATGAAACCAACCATGGCATGAATGATCCTTATGAGGTGCTAGCCAAGTATTGTTACTTTGTAGCAAATCCATCAACCAAGATGGTTGCCAATGGGGGACTTAGTTTAACAAAGGACCCTATGAGAAATATATACAAATGTCTTCTTCTAGAAAACCGCTGAATGGATTGAAACCAAACATGGTATGAATTATTTTTTTGAGGTACTGACCAAGTGTTGTTACTTTGTAGCGGATTTGTCATTGTTCTTATACAGCCATTTTTTACAATTTCAATGCATTTATTGGTAATTTCTGTAAACTTTACAAAAGTTTTCTGCTTTTGATTAAATTAGGGGGCCAATATTAAACCAAATTTGCTCTCAATCATTATTAGGAAATGCCTGTTGTACCAAGTCAGGATTATGACAGTTGTCCATTCGTTTGATGTGTTTTATCATTTGATTTTGCCATTTGATTAGGGACTTTCCGTTTTGAATTTTCCTCGGATTTTTAGTATTTTTGTGATTTTACTTTTTTTTCAGTGACTTGTTTTATGTTTTTTCATTAATGCTCTCTGGGGAAACTGTCCTGAGCTTTCTTATCCAAAACCTTTTCCGAGCAAGTCTGTCGGCCCTTGACCAACCCTCGTTGTGATCTATGATGGTGATGGTGAGGTTTTTGAGATAAGCTTGGGCGTGCCCAGGTGATCTCAAATGGCGACTTACTGTGAGGTCGGGCTTGGAGGTGTAGTCACTACGATAACCATTCATGTGTTTGTTGAATGGCTGTTCTGTCTCGCCAACATACTGCATGCCACATCGGCACTGAAGAAGGGATACAACATTCTGGGTCTTGCAAGTTAAACAAATATAGTGTACACAGACCCAGTGGAGTGGCAAGTAAATGTTTGAGTATTCAGTATTTGTTGGCAAGTCATATATCGTCTGTTACCACACAACTTGCACCATCCTGCAGTTGAACAGTTTTTATTAGATGAGACGTCAGCTCTCACAAAAAAGTCTTTCAGACTTGCTGGTCTCCAAAAAGCTAAGACAGGAAGGGAAAGATTTTGGGTGATTGGCATTAATTTGCCAATTGGCACGGATCAAACGTGAGAGGTTTGTAAAGGCGGGATTGTATGTTAAAACAAAAGGAACTATTTTGCTGCGCCTCTTCTTTTTGTACTGTAACAGGTCATTGCAGCTGTTATTGTTAGCACGCGCAAAGCCCTTATCTATATCCCATTTCTTATAACCTCTTTTGGTTAAAAATCCGCGAAGTTCCTGTAACCGTTTAGTGACAGCCTCCTCAGAGGAGCAAATCTGCTTCACTCTGAGAGCTTGACTGTACGGGATACTTTTTGTACAGTGTTTGGGGTGACAGCTTTGGGGAGAAAGGTACTGATGTTTGTCTGTAACGATTTCACCTTTAATGGTGAAAATTACCTTCAAATAAACGGGACAGCAATGGGGACGAAAATGGCACCGTCTTACGGAAATAGGAAAATTAGAGAAACACATTATTTCAACATCTTTATCCAAACCTCTGTCTTGGTTCCGTTTCATTGATGATGTTGACATGAAATGGATTGAATCCCAACAAAAATTGGATGGTTGTTGGGATTCAATCCATTTCAATGTTTGCATGTCTAATTTTTTGTAAATTTTTTATACGAGCTCAAAAAAATTTTTTTGTGGTCCGTATATATTAGTATCATGTCGTCGTCGTCCGAAGACATTTGGTTTTCGCACAATAACTTTAGTATAAGTAAATAGAAATCTATGAAATTTAAACACAAGGTTTATGACCACAAAAGGAAGGTTGGGATTGATTGTGGGAGTTTTGGTCCCAACAGTTTAGGAATTAGGGGCCGAATTGGGGCCCAAATAAGCATTTTTCTTGGTTTACGCACAGTAACTTTAGTATAAGTTAATAGAAATCTATGAAATTTAAATACAAGGTTTATGACCACAAAAGTAAGGTTGGGATTGATTTTGGGAGTGTTGGTCCCAACAGTTTAGCAATAAGGGGCCAAAAGGGATCAAAATTAAACTTTGTTTGATTTCATCAAAAATTGAATTATTGGGGTTCTTTGCAATTGATATGCTGAATCTAAACATGTACTTAGACTTTTGATTATGGGCCCAGTTTTCAAGTTGGTCCAAATTGGGGTCCAAAATTAAACTTTGTTTGATTTCAACAAAACTTGAATATAAGGGGTTCTTTGATATGATGAGTCTAACCATGTATTTAGATTTTTGATATTTGGGCCCCGTTATCAAATTTGTGCACATTGAGGTCTAAAGGGTCCAAAATTGAACTTTATTTGATTTCATCAAAAATTGAATTCTTGGGGTTCTGTGATATGCTGAATCTAACCATTTATTTAGATTTTGGATATTGGACCATAATAGGTAAATATCCAATCTAAAATTTTTAACTTCTTAGACCACATTTATTCTGTGTCAGAAACCTATTCTGTGTCAACTATTTAATCACAATCCAAATTCAGAGCTGTATCAAGCTTGAATGTTGTGTCCATACTTGCCCTTACTGTTCAGGGTTCGACCTCTACGGTCGTATTAAGCTGCGCCCTGCGGAGCATCTGCTTGTAATCTTTTACAGAAATCTTCTCTGAAGCTGCTTTGACAAATTTAACCAAACTTGGCCACAATCATCATTAAGGTATCTAGTTTGAAAAATGTGTCCGATGTCCCCGCCTGCCAACCAGCATGGCAGCCATGGTTAAAAAATGGAACATAGGGGAAAAATGCAGTTTTTGGCTTATATCTCTGAAGTTAAAGCATTTAGAGCAAATCTGACAATAGGTAAAAATGTTCATCAGGTTGAGATCTATCTGCCCTGAAATTTTCAGACGAATCAGACAACACATTGATGGGTTGCTGCCCCTGAATTAGTAATATTAAGGAAATGTTGCAGTTTTTGGTTATTATCTTGAATATTATTACAAATACAGATAAACTGTAAACAGCAATAATGTTCAGCAAAGTAAGATCTACAAGCAAGTGAAGAGGACCAAAATTGTCAATTGACCCTTAAGGAGTTATTGCCCTTTAAAGTCAATTTTTAACAATTTTTTTCGTAAATTTTTGTAATCTTTTACAAAAATCTTCCCTGATGAAACTACTGGGACAAATTTAACCAAACCTGACCACAATAAATATTAGGGTATTTAGTTTAAAAAATTTGTCCGATGACCCCTGCCTGCCAACCAACATGGGCCACATGGCTAAAAATAGAACATATGGGGTAAAATGCAGTTTTTGGCTTTTAACTCTGAAACTATAGCAAAAGTATAATGGTTGCATTATTTTATGCATCAATTGTAAACAAAAATATCAGGTGAGCGACACAGGTTCCTTTGAGCCTCTAGTACTAATCATCAAACTGCTATTTATTTGGTATGTTTAAAAACGCATATCTTTGCAGTCTTTGCGACGTGTTTGGAAATTTTAAAATTGTACCAGCGTCTTTAAACTGTTTTATTGTATAAATTTCACGATTGTGATAGTTTTATAATCAGAATAGATCGACATGATTCATTTTACATCGTGATCATACTGATGAAGGATATCTGTTATCCGAAATATTTAATATTTGTTCGTTTTATTGTTATTTTTTGGTGATGTTGTACCCTTTTAGACTTGTTATATACATGTATGTCTTTGAATGTGTTATTTCAGAAAGGATTGAAAACAAAAGATAAAATAATCACTGTCAAAGAAATAAAAGAGCATTTCAGAGGATTTATAGGTAGGTTTGCATTATTTGTGTAGAAATTGACATTATTCCTTGCACTTTGCTTTGGTTCTCTGAACTGAATATGATTTTGTAAATATATGGCAGTCGACTCTTGCTTGGCACTCATCAAAAAAAAAAAAATTCTCACTCCAATTTAAGTTCACTGAATTCAAAAAAAAAATAAGGGTAAATCATGAGAAGTTTGGACTCAAAGAGAGAATTACAACAAGCAAGATTTGATAAATAGATATGATTATGTTATTAAAAAAAATCTAAATGTGAATAATCCCATGATTTTATATTATTATTCATGGGCTTGTGATATTTGATTTGGTGCTTATTTGGAAGATCTTGTAGAAAACTACACTTAAAACGGGATAAATTAGTTCATTTTTGATAGTTTCATTTCAAGGCAAAATCATTCTTTACAGGTGAGTCTATTTGTGGAATTTATACTTTCTATTTTATTAATTTCTATTATGCAGTTATTCAACAAGATGACAACAATTAAATCATCAAGAATAAGATTTAAAAAAAAGGTTTATTGGAATGGCATTCACACTTTTTTTTAATACCTAACATCTTGTTAAACATCATTATTGCAGTAATGTTATATTTCTGTAATAAAAAAAAACTTCCAACTAGGGTATGGAAATGGCTGTTATTTCGTCTTAATGATAATTTTGACTGATGCCTATTTCTTGAAAAAGATTCAGTTGCCTATATTATTACCTGTATAATAAACCTATTTTTTTCACACGAGTACACAACAATTGCGTAATTAGAATACTGAAATGCTTTGTTTTTAACATATCTTTGTATTGCAGTCAATTCTTAATAAACTGATAACTGTTTTATTAAGGGAGTTAAAAAAACATATACAGGAATGATAAAGTAGTTTCAGATGACCTGGCGAAAAATGAAACAGCCTGAACAAAGCACTGAGGTCAAAACATGTAAAAGGTGTAAAAGCCAACGCTGATACTACTAAACTTATTACGACCAATCTTGAAGGGTGGAAAGTGTATATAGAATTGTTGTTGTTACTTATACTCAAGGCTATTGGTCACCATTGGGACCATGACTAAAAATAGAACAAAATGTTGAAGCGAATAATTGTCTAATACATTTATAACTGGGGTAGCTATGGGATACTTGAGAAGTGATATTATGTTGAAAGCAGTTATGGTTGGAGAGAAACTGTTAAAATTAAAATTGATTTTCAAGTAAACTGATAAAATAATTTGTCCTAAATGATTTCATTTGAAGTTCAAAACTTGGTTGACTGCCTAGGGATGGCCATTCGATTTTTAAATATATCCAAGATTTATTAAGAAGCATCTAGTTATTTTTTGTTTGTTTGCCCCCCTCATTTCTTCGTGTTTGTTTCATATTTGAATGTCTTTATTTTCATTTTTGATATCTATCAATATCTCCCGCATGCAATTCATATGCTGTCATTTTTAATTTCAGACAAACCAAGAGTATTTCTTATTCAAGCCTGTCGTGGAAAAGCAGTACAAGAGATGGCTGATGGATCTGATTCCCCAAACAGCATGCAGGATGAAATTCTTGAAAGAAGAAGTTGTGTACAATCAAGAAATCCCAAATCAGAAGAGCAATTATATACTGATTCAGAAGACAGACCCAAATTACCAAAAGATGCAGACATCATAGTAGCACATGCAACAACATCAGGTAAATTTATCATACGCCTCAAAAAGGGAAGTAATAGTGATACATATGTCTGTCCGCCCACCCGTTTGTCAAAAGTTATACCAAGTCTTTTTTAATCTAACACAATGTATTGGAACACAACATAAAGTTGAATTTGTTGATTTTGACATTTACCGTTCAAGAGTTAGTCCATATGTTAACTTTAACGTTTGGTTTTCTTCCGTTTGTGGATTATAATGATAAAACCATTTGACTGAATCTTTTGAAACTTCAACACAATGTTATTTACCATTACATATAGGTCAAGTTAGTTTTTTGACATTCAAGAGTCTATATGCCTTAAGCTTTCTTAAAAATTTACATTTCTTTGGCTTCTGAATGATAATTAAAATACTACTTGACCAAACAAATTTGGAAATTTGAACACAATGTTCAAATGATGTTATGCATAAATAGATGAAGGCCTTGATTTGGACATTTAGTTTTCAAGAGTCCCTTAGTTACCTGGAATTTTAGGGGTTTTTTTTATTTCATAGTAATAGCGAAAGAACTGTTTAAGGAAACCTTTTAACAATTTTATACTATGTTACGAAACATATAAAACAAGTCATTTTCAATTTGAACATTGTTTAGTTTGTTTTTGCAAGCTTGTGTACCTGTGATCACTAGATCACCTTATTCTAGTGTCATCTTCTAACTTTGCGAGTTTGAACTAGATCTGGCCAGGTAAGAATGTTTTATAAAGAAGGGTTCTGTCTAACCCTTTGAGCGCCGAGACGTTGTTTTTTCACATGGTTATGTTGCCATACATATTTCAATGACGTTACTAAAATGATACATAACGTAACGTCAACACATTACCTACATGCACATGCACGCTATCCTCGTTTATCGATTAATTGGACATCTCACCCATTCGGGGAAAGTTCCCATATCTCCGGCGACCTTTGAGTTAACTTGAGTACACGTAGCGAACTTTGCGTATGTTCAGTGATTTTCATTTTCGGGCTAGAATTCGAAGTTAATTTAATTTTATTTTTATTCTTTTCTAGAATACTATTAAAAAAGACGACAATATGGAAATGAATGAAGATTCTTATAGCATGATAAATATTATTAACAGTGAAGATATTTTGAAGAAAATATAGCTCAAATACTGTATTTTGATATAAAGAGGGTGGTAAAGGGTTATTTTCGTGTAACGTGTTTTGCCATTTTTATTTCACGTGCAGCCGTAAAAAAAGTTTGTTATTCACCGTGTTTTCTGAAATCGGTAAAAAGATCAACGTGCAAGACATTTTTAATTGTTCGTTCATCGTGAAATGGCAATTTTATTTCGCGTTTTTCCGTGCAGTTACTCCCTCTCTTTACACCCCTCTATAAAGTATCATCATATGTAAGATTTTATCTTATCATCAAATGATTAAAAAAAAATGAGCAGTGTTCTCAGTTTCTTCATACTTAGCGCGGGTCTGTTTTTTTCTAAAGCACCATCGACAAAGAGTTCGACTTAACACTTTGCAGATCTTTTCATATCACCACAAAATTAGAGATACCAGTATATAGCATTGTAATAATTCAACCATCATAAGTCTCAGCTTATTGAGTAATAAATAGTTCAGCGGCAAATATTTCATGAATATACAACAATACTTATCTTTTTTTCTGATAACGTATAATCTGAAATAAATTTGCTTTAACTTAACAATTGTGTGACTTATCCTTCATTTTGATTTGCCGATTTGGTTTTGAGGAATGTCACTTATTTTTAATAGACCAGTACATGTAGTAGTGAACATTTAGCATCCATTTTGCTTCTTTTTTTATATATAGCCTAAACTGATTTTTTTTGGTATTCAAGTCGATTAATATTTTACATGTCAACGGCATGCGAATTTTCATAATTTCACTAAATGTTTATTTTTCTATGCAACACTTGATGTCTAAATTTAATGTATTAATATCTGTGGTTCAAACTGAATTGACCTTTTTATGGAGTAAGTCAATTTTTGGGGAAAGACGGCTTCAAGCCGTCAATCCCCTATGTGGTTGACCAGACTGACATCCCCTCACGTCATTCATTTTGTTTTTATAGTGTGGAAAACACCCCAAAAAATCTTACTGAGATTGATGAGAAGGAGACACACAAATGAATAGATTGACATTAATCACTTTTTTACACATTTCCCTTCTGTTTCTCGCGAAATGATCGCATTTTCAGCTCTCCCTTACACTATTTACGTTTCTTTTACAATCCGGAAAAATCAGAATGACGAGATATTCTAAATATATCCAACCTACATTATAGTGACGTCATTGTTGGAATGCCACACTACGTAGAAGCAGGGATATCCTTTACTGATTATTTAAATCATTCTCAGATTTCGTGTACTAATTTAAAATTTGTATTTGTTCAATTTAAACATAATTATGTTTGCTGTAGATGATTCAAACAGCAACATGCAATGCTTTAATTTGTAGGTCAACTTGTAACTTTCACAGCCTTGGGGATACATGAGATTGGGGAGAGAAACGACAGTTTTCATTTGTTTCTGTTAAATTCTGTTTTGAGAATCTTCCTCCAATACAGGAGCACCTCAATTGATGAGTAATTATCCACTAAAATAAAAGTTAATGTATCAGAACACTTATAATGTGGCATTTAGTATATGATTAATAGTATTCCATTATTACTAAATTTGTGTACCAACATAATCATTGTAATGGTAAAAAAAAAAAAAATTAATTAAAAATGTTGCATTTTGTAGTTTAAACCTATTTATTCATGAAATTTACAGATATATATCAAAATGTAGGATCTGGAAACAAGCGTCAAACAGTTTACATCAATTATATTGGTTTTTATTAGTACCTGTATCCCTGTGATGAGAGTTGTAACTGGGAACTTTATCAATGGAAATTTAAAACTGAGTAGATTTTTCAGTCCTCACTTTCTTGTGAAAACAAATAAAATCTTAGAGTACTGTCACAAATGGAAAATGGCCCTAGCCTGCAGTTCAGTGGTACACAATTAAAATTTCAAAAAATATTGTAGTAGTTGTTGAATGATAGAATTCAGTTGAATTTTAGATAATTAACTTTCAAGTTTAATCGAAGGTTTTGATTGAAAAGATGCAGATCTCTTCCATTGGTTCGAATTGAATCCTTAACTAAGGAAACGAAATTACATTAAACAGCAATTGATTTCAGTATTATCAACCTTTCTACATGTTCTAGCTGTTCTTTTTTTCATTCTTTATATGAAGACTATCAAAAGATACCCCCCCCCCCCCCAAAAAAAAAACAACAAAAAAACAAAACAGAAACAATGGCCGTCTTTCACCTCAGAGCTCTTCAGCTCTTTGATTTACAGATACTATTTCTAAAAATGGTTATGAACTTAAGTTCAGTAACGAACACAATTATAGGTACAGGTTAAAAAATACTTTTCTGCATGTGCTAAATACATGTCCGACTTAACCTCAGTTTTGTCATTAAATGGGCCTGTCGATAAAATTATTTTATGTTTCTTGTTGCGATCATTAACATCGGAAATCTGATATAGATCCCTTTTTCTTTGGTGTGATTTCGGCAGAAAATGAGGAGAAACTATTAAATCGTAAAGACACATTCTTTTGGCAAGAGTTTTTTAAGGGATTTCTTTAAAATCGATATAGCCCCAAAGGCTTGAACTATTTTCCTTCATTGATTCCTACATTATGATGTAGTGTTTATTTTTTTTTTAAACTAGTACATGTATACGGTTTGTTTGAAGTTTTAAATAAAAGAGGTAAATGTTGGTACCAATAGTTTACTCCAATCATAATTACGGACGACGTACTTTCCGTTTGACTGTGATTGATTCTTCAAGTTTTGAATTTGATTTGATACATGCACAAATATAATCACAAACTGGTCGACTTACATCAAAAACCCTTCTCTAAATTTTAAAAAGATCCAGACTCGGTGAAAATTAGATTTTAACTCCAGGACACCAACAAATTAACAAAGATATATAGAGATCAAATTACAGTCTGAAAAGAAAATAATCGGACATAAGCATTATACGATATTTCAAACACTAAAAGCAAAAGTATAAATTGGCTGTGAATAAATTATTGGAGACTACCAATATTTGCTATATCATTCATGTCCTAAATCAAAATATAGCAGTCTGATATCAACAAACACAACCGCTTGGACAATAAAAAAACCACTCAAATTCTATCGAAAACAACGACTGGGACAAGTCTCAGACATGAGTGGAAAACATCGCCGATGACTGACACAGATAAATGGTCCCGGGTTAAAATGTGTCATTCATATCCCATCCATAGTTAGATAGAAGATAATACGCAATTTAAGACGACCCTTTCTTTTCCAGTTGAAAATTTGATTTTTAAACCTAACGGAAACATTTAAAAACACTGGTCTTAGAATTACAAGAGATGCCTCATTATATGTTTTCCATAGCTCTTTTTGATTATATCTTGATGTTTTTCATATTATAGTCATACGAAGTAGCTAGATTGGAGTCTTGTTTAATCTTTCATAGTAACGAAAAAAAAAACTCGATTCAAAATGATGACAATAGTGTAATAATTTTAATGGATCAGATGAACTGATCTACATGCTAACTTCTGTATATTAACAAGTTCGTATATCAATTGCGTATGTTAGGTTTGAATTGTCAGTACTAGTATAAGCTTTTAGTAATTTTTATAGAATCATGCACTGCCGTCCGTGTTTATATATTGTTTTATTCTTTAGCTGTTGTTTAACAATTATGGTTGTTAAAATAAACAATTCAGAATTTTCTTTTGGCACCAGTATTATTTTTGAAAGAGTCCTTTATGATATATGAAAGTCATGATATCTGTATGTATGGTTACAAATGAGACACATATAACCACCAAAGTCATCGGAGCAAGGCTATAAACTACGGGTCATCGGCGTACTGTCTTCGACAATAGTTATGTATTTATGATCTCCCCCAGCTTTTGGTTGGGTTGATGTTGCTC